TTAATAAAAACCTGCGCATACTATGCATTTTAGATACTTATTAATTTATGTGGGAAGACTTACAAGGAATTATGTACTTTGCAACTACCAAAAACATTGGTCAAGAAACATTAGTTTTATGAGCTTATGGATACAAACATAAAAAAAAAGAAAATTAGTTGGTTATTATAAATTATAAATTATGATCTACAGTAGTGCAGTATTATATAATATTAACTTAACATTAAAAAATTAGATACATTATGTAATGTATAATTTGATTTCATATAATATTGCAGTGCGACATTTTTAAAATACAACTTGTCAACTCCCCAGAGATGTATGGAATGTACCTTTTACACAAAGAGGAAGTGTGTTTGGCCAACGGGGGAAACGATGTCAAGGAAAAGATTCTGTACAGCGTGACTTCCGAGGCAAATGCCACCAAATCGCTAATAAGTGGAGTCGATTGGAGGCGCAATCAGCGCCACAGGTTCGGCCCTGGAGTGTCTTTTAGCAATAACGCTGCCTACAGCAACTGTTACGCCGATGAATCCACTAATAAAGGTATAATAATTATATAATGTTTCATCCATGTGTTTTTTTTTTAATCATTAATCTCTGTTTATTTGTCGACAAAATGTCACACCATCGCACCCTACAAATCGTTTCAAATCCCTCTCAAAAATTGTTGTAAAAATATTCGGATTAGTAGGCACATCACTGACGCGAATTTATGTGCAATTTCCAGCCCAAGTCGATTTCCTTAGTTAAAAGTCATAACCATGCTCGGGAAAATGAGAAGGGTCCCTAAAAATCCCCACTAAAACGTAACAAACTCATCAAAATATTCGAACGAATATTTTACACAAACGAAAAATTCTACCCCTATCCCTGTGTCAACTATTTTTGTTGCCGTCCACATTAAGAAGGTAGGTTATTTTTCCCTGACATTATATTTTTTGAGAGGTATAGGTAATAAACTAATATTTTGTAAGTTTCTGAGGGTAGCAATGAATATATTAGTTTTAAAATGACGTGATTTTTTTTGTAATAAATAAAACATTTTGAACATTAACTTCAAGGTTGGTTTTTGGTAAAAAATTGATTAATTGGTAATTCGGTTTACAGTAAGGAGGCCAATTCTTAGGCCGATGGGTCAAAAATATTAGATTCCTTTTTGAGAAAAGTCATTTGTATTAAAAATAGTAATCAGTTAAGTTAAATTTCCTTTTTCTATACATTTTTTTCATACCTATTTTATACAATTTCTGCATATTATTTTAAATATTTGATGTACATATTTCATCGATTTAAATTTTCATTCCCGAGCATTGTTGTACGTTATCTAGATGAATTAAACTGTTATCTGATTATTTGTAGATAATTGATCTAAATTTATTTAATTTACCGTTGTATAATTTTTAATATTTAAAATTTAAAACAAGAGAACTGCCTTAAATTAAGCCATTAATTAATTAAACAATACAATTAAGTGTTCAAATAATTTAATTATTTAAAATGTTCAATAATATATTAATATGATGCGTTAAACATTTTTTTCTTTTTTATTTAAATTTATTTGTTTAATCTTTAATGTTATTATAAATTACTGTTTTTTATCTAGATAAATAGGAAAGTTGTCTGTGTATAACAGTGCTCTTGTGCCCCAAGTTCTAAGTTGTTTACAACCCTTTTAAAATTTTAATTTTATTTTATTAAATCTCAGAATAAAAAAAAAATATTGTTTCGAGGGTAGCGCTGCTGAACGCCTATACTTAAGGTGTCCTGTGAATCACTGTAATAAATGTGTTAAATTTGAATTAGTGATGTACAATTGTATACGAAAAACAATTCTGAGTACACGGTCCGCCAGTCTACTAAATATATTTTACTATTAAAATATAATATTTATTTTGCTTTTAAAGTAATTTATTTTACTAAAATTTTATTGATATTTAAAAAAAATATAATTTACAAATTTCCGTGATATTGACCAATGTTTAATATTGTCAAAATTTGAATTTCTTACCAAAAAAGAAGCTGAAGTAAAGATCCAAGCACTTTTATTGCATTAAAAGGTGACGACAAAATACCTACTGTTATTCAAAAAAGTATAAAATCTTTAAAAAAAATACTAAATAAATATATTTGTTTGTTTTTAAGTCATTATGACTAAAAAATTAATATTATGTACAAGACAATATCGAGGAACAAACAATTTACACTACGTACTAGTAAATTTTAAATGATATTTTCTTTTTGTTTTTTCATGATCGGCAGTGGGAGCAAGATTGATCATCGTAAGCATTGTGTTGATAAAAACTAATAATCAATTGACCCAAAAATTGTTTCCAGTAATCAGCTCGACCATACCTTCTGACACGGCAGACACGACAGTGAATCCTAACGGAAACCATTGCGGGAATTACAGTGATTTCGATTCGTACCCGATATTTTTTGTTTACTACCGGTGGACTCCTGAACTATTAAATCAATGCAAATTTTTCTTCGCCAAATGCATCAGCACCCAAATGATACATTAAGAACAGAAGCTAGTAGGAGATTGGCGTGTAACCGAGTCTAGCAGCTTGTCTGTAAAGCGACGCCGAAATGCCAGCAAACAACGCCGTGCAATAGAGAAAGGAGACGCGGAACCTGAAGCCGCCGCCTTGATGAAACACCAAAAGAAAAACTCCAGAAGGCGACGTTGCCTCAGTCTACGCCGCTGCTGTTTTACTGAAACGCAAAAACAAAGACACCAAAAAGCGAAGGCTTGCAGTGGACAAAGCAGAATCGAAAGCCAAAGGTGTCTCTCTGAAATGCCCAAACAAGAACACCAGAAAGCGACGCCAGCCAATGCTGGAGCCAAAGTCGTCAAAACGTCAAAAAAGAAATCGGAAAAAGTGACTCCTCCGCACACCAGTTGAAACTGAAGCCTCCCCAGCCGCAGACTTACTGGGACGCGGAACAGAGACGTTAAAAAACGTATTCATTTCTCGTTACTCGTCTGTTGACTATGATTATATAAACGTATACTTTTTGATTATTACTGATAATTATTTTTTTTACATTTTAATAAACCCTAAATGACCTTAATAAATATTTCTATTAACAATTGTTTTTGCATATAAATCAATAGAAAGTATATTATTTTATTATGAAATAATAATATAAACATTTTTAAACAAATTAAACTTGCTAACAAAAATAGTGTTATATATTGTTTCAGTAAGAAAAAGTACTGAGTCAGAATTTATTTTGTTACACTTTACCGAAAATTAAATAAAAATTTAGGACTATACTCTATTTAGAATAAGACCGTGACCCAGCGGCGACCAGTTTTCGTTCCGCGACTGTCAGACGCCGTCCCCACTACGGCGGAATGTCGGGAACTGCCACGGAACAAAGCCACCCTCATGCGCACAACTCGGCCGCCGAGTCACGGTCTTATTCTGAATAAAGTTAGCGTGAGGTGTATTGAATGACATTTTCCATGATGCACTCGTGTCTGAGAGGAAAAACAAATACTGCGCTATCAGCGTAATGGAATAAATCGGTGTTCGTCATACCTTAACCCACGGTCTTAGATTATTGTCTGCACCAGCGCAACGAGATACTTTCTGAAACTACCACCATTTTTTTGAAAAATGTCAAATAACAATATTATAATATTTAATTCGTAGTAACATGTATACAATGCTGAAATTGACCATACCATACATAAAAAACTTTGAATAAATAAAAACAGCCGCCATCCGTGGTCTATGGACTGTTTCCATTTTTGTAATACAATATGGGCCTACAAAAGTCGCGCCTATAGGAGTCACCAGTTGCCTGTCGTTTGATAGGAGGGCTACGTTTTACCTTGATGTTTTTAATTAATTTCTTAAGACATTTTTGACCTATTTCTCGTATTAGAACTAAAAAATTGACTTCATTCATCATTGAAATATTAACTAGGTTATATAAATAATTTCAATTTTGAGCTATAAAACATCAGGTTATCAGCTAGTTTTAACTCACTTAAGGCTGAAATGTATCTCCGTGGCACACCAACCAGAACCTGAATGTCCTTGCAAGAACAGCTGTTGCAAACTACACCTACCGCTTGTTATCATATTGATGATAACTTTTATAAAATAGTTTAATTTAAAAACTGTAAATACTACGAATTTAACTAATGCTTAAGAGTTTTAAAATACTCAATCTGTAGTATAATTCTCTCGGGTCTCTTGTATACCTTTAAACTTTTGGAAAATCGGTTTTGAAGCTCCTTATCATATTGTAACGTTGGGTATCTAGCATATTTTCATTTATGGTTTGATCCAAGAATCAGTTTAAAAAATCGATTTTTTTGAGCACATCAGTACACTTCAACCACAGTGCGCATAACTATAGTCGGGAGAATGAAAGTGGCCGCTGATGCCCACGCGCCTGGTGGTGAATTTTTATCATTGTATCGCAAAACTGTGAAATAGAGCTCGCACATTTTGAATCAATCATTAATTAATAACGGCCGCTTCCGTGATTCACTTTGAGAACCACTGTTTATCGAAAAAAAACGTTACTATCATAATCATATTGCTAACGGCCACTCCTCGTTCTCCCGACCATACAGTCCCGCGCCGTAGGTTATTGTAATATTGTCGTTATTCGCATGATTAGCTACAATGTGTAAACAATAAAAACTCTAACTTAATCAAATCCACTGTCTATCGTTTAGATCGCATTGTATACGAGTTTTCAAGTCGGTGAGTTGTGCGGAACAACACGTGGGTCAGGTCGTCTCTATCTGGCAAGTCAACGATTCTAAATAATATTATTCAAGAAGGAGGTAGGTACTACAATTTGGATATTAATATTAGTCAGTATAAACGTATGTTATTCAAATGTGATTGTGTGAAATCGTCAAAACTCCATCAAACACGCCCTAAATATTGGCTGATAACACATTTTGTATCAATAATTTGTATGTTCCTCTTTGGTAAGCTCGCTGCTCGTACAGGAGACGGATCCATTCATCTGCACGTGACTCGGACGAAGATGGCGTCTTCGAGGGATAGTATCACCGGTACGTCGAAGTTTACTACACACGCTGCAGCAATTTTAAGATCTGAGTTCCCTTACCCTGGTGACGCCCACCGTCCACTTCTAAACGTGAGCCAGGAATGCTATGAACAAATCAAACACGTGATTCAGAAGACATATCCCAAAGTGAGTATCACTATATTACTACGACGATTCACCAATTTTCGTTTGGCTCGGTATAGGTATACCGTATAGTACCACTGTTACACGTGGTTATTAGTTGTTAGTTTAGGTCTTACTGAAATATTTCAAATATAACTATCCTAAATAGGAGTGTAAGATATTTTTATGGGGAGGGGGGGGAGGAGATATTATTTCGTATTAGGTATTTTATAATTTTTTATTTAATCTTCCAATTTACAGTAATATTATATTATATTTATTTGACACAGAGGATCGACCTATATAGGAGTGCATACTTTGAATAAGTTCATCTTGTATATAATTATTATTTATGTATTACAACAATACACATTAAATCTTTAAACACTTATTAGGTTTAAATGTATTACAATAATATTTAACACTTGTATTATGATTAGTAATTAGTAATAGATAATCAGTGATAACCTACTTAGGATATTATAAACAAAACATAAAAAATTAACATGTCTTAACTATTATGAACAATAAGGCTAATAGGCACCACAGTTCAATAATGATTAAGATACATTTTTTGGATTACCTAATGTAATATTATACCTCTTTGAAAAATTCAGAAAATATATTAAAAGAAAATTATTATTTGATCCACTATTTTATTCAAAGCCAAATATGGAGACCTGAGCTCATACAATTTGATCAAATCACAATTCCTTTTTTCTTGTATTATGATGACTTTGAAACGATTAACCTTCTTGTCAGTGTTGCTAGTGTACATATGTTAAGAGCCAATTATTTAAGTTTGCCCGGTTGGCAGTTTCCCTCCTAAATTGTCTTCTAATATAAAAAAAAAACGTTTGAATGGTTTCTTTGTTCAACACAACTGAGTACTAATTCACTGGTAGGAAATTGATAATTATTCAAACACACATTTTCTGATGTTAATGATATTGAAGTCTGATTTACCTATTGAAAAATATGTTAACAATCAAAATATCTAAATTTATTTATCAACAATACAAAAATAGTACAAACAATCGTCTATTTGTATTATAATGAATTTTGTTGTAAACAGGTGAATTTTTAAGCATGCCCCCCCCCCTTTAATAATACATTTATTCAAATTCTAGTTTTTAGAATTTTTAAGTAGACCCTAAGAGGCTAAGACCATATTCTTAAATTCCCAATATTTTTTTGTACTACTATTGAGGTACGCTGTGGTGATACAAACTTCTATTTTTCAAATGAGAGCTTCCTTTTTTTATTGAAAATTATTTAGCTGATGATTTTTTTGAAAATTTTGATGTATCTAAATGAAAATTCTAATGAGTTATTAAAATGTTTACACTTATTAATATCCTTAAAATGGTTTCATAAAAATAGAAACTATTTGTTATAATTCATATAATTTATAATTCATTGTTTTTACATCAAAAAACAATATTGTTATATTTTATTAAATATTTTAATATTTTTAAAACTTAACATGCCCATTTTAATCAATTTTTACTTCTGAGAAGAAATTTTTTTTTTAATTTGAATTTATACAACCAATGCCCTAGGTATAATAAGAATATTATGTGCTACAAGCAGTTCAATATGAATGGGGTGAGGAAAGGAACCATCCAGTGATCCTTTTGCTTATTTGTACATAGATCTTATACATACATTTTATTGTTTGGTTAATCTTTAAGGAGGTCTCTACTCCAGTTTCTTTTTAGACACCGTGTTGGATTTCCAGGAATCGTGTGAGTAGCTAGTCTGGATATAAGAGGGTTTGGGTGAGAGGTCAGTTTATGGAATTTCGTTTGTAGAACGTTTTGATTTGAGGAGTATTTATAAAAAAAATTTCTTTTGTTTTTAACAATAGTAGTTGTACATTAATAACTGCAAAAATAAAATGACATACTAAAATTTATTTTTAACTATCAAACAATATGTAATTTTGTACATAGTACGATACATTGAATAATATCTTACTCCAATATGAATAAATACATATTATTGGTTTTATTAAATTTGTTTCATGGGTTGATGTAAATGATAGGTACCTACTGTTGAACTTACCCGTATTTTAGTACTCCATATAGTAAAATTAAGTAGGTATGCACTAAAAAGTAAGCAACAGTGCAACACTAATAATCTGTAGTAATAATATCAAACATTCAAACATCAACATACAAGCTCTATTCGTGTATTGTCAGAGACTCTCTCAAGCTCCTATTAGCTAACCATAGTAACCTTGTTATGATCACACCATCACTAGATGAGGTGTTGTTTTATTACTAGTATTAATCTATGGTCTATGTATGCTTACATACATAGTAAAATATATTTTACTAATGAGAATCATTATTCATTACGGTACCTAGTCGTTATTTCATTATCAATATTTGTATTGTTGATTGTTATAGATACCTATAGGTAAACTTTAATTTATGTCGCTAGTTTACCTGTGTATGGATTAATAGCTAAAAGTCTAAAACCCTATTTATATATTACTAGACAGTAGACATGAGTCCTGTAGCCATTTGCTCTTTATTTTATGCTAATGGCTTTAACTTATAATAACTATTTTCAGTCATATTATATTGTAAATAACACTAAAGATATTGTATAAATTAAAATGACTGAATTATTATTCCAAAACCCAATACTATCATATTAATCACTCGGATGGTTTTTTAATGAAATTGCTGAACGGTATACCTACCTACTGCATTTTTGTATTTTCTTGAAATAATAATAAATAAATACAAGTGTTATATGTCTTTGTCTATACTGCATATTCAATCGAATTTGTTGCTGCGCTTATAAGTAGTATTCTCTTTATTATTGAATACTTGTACAAATTGGAATAGAGGCCAATTCTGAATGATTTCTAGTAGTTTATTATAAACATAACTGTCTAACAACGTTCTCAGTACATTTCACATAATGTGCATGTTATTAAACAACTAAAATGATAATCATTCGTTGACCAGTGGGCGTTGTTTGTCTATTAACATCCCACAATTTGTTTGATACCTATCTGCATTCAATTTAAATCTTATCTGTCCTTATGAAATCATATATAAATAGTTTAAAAATGCTCTGCTATTTTTCTTGTAGTAGCAACCTGCATTTAGGTTGCATTGTCTTTAAGTAGAGGTTTATCAAAAAACAAAAAGTTATTATTGCATTGATCCATTGAGTGGTAGAGTTTTTTTTTTTAATGAGTTAAATACAATTTAATGAACTTATTGTGGTATTCTGTTAACATTTTTAAATAGTAAAAGTGTTGTAAAAGCTTATGTACAATGTACATACACTTATGTATACTACCACAGTCAGCAGCTGATTGGTTTTATGTCTGTTTAGCGAACACGTTCCTCAAATATATCCCAATATGCGATTCATAGGAGGAAATTTGGAGGCGCTCATTAGGATAATGCTTAAATATTTATTAATAGTCATTGTTTCAAAACGTATTTACAATAACTTTGAACAATCATACATTTAAGATTAAATTTAAGCAGTTTTTTAGTAGCATTCATCCACCATCCATCATTTTGGTTTTGGTGGAAATACCTAATAATGAATACTGTCATTTGTTTTTAACTAATTATTGTTATTAAAGAATATTCAAGCAGATAGTGAATTAGTGTTAATTTAATTAATTTAATAACTTAATAGGTAATTTAATAAATATTATATTGGGTACTAGGAAATATTTACTGTCACAATGATAAATTGATAATTATTAATAGTTGGAGTATATTTATGTAACATAGGCATTATACCCACGGGAACATGCATGCAAATTTGTGTATGTGAGTTTGGTGTGAGTCTGCTACTTTTGTAAATCATGTTATCAATTAATAAATTAAGGCTTCATTGTAAAGATTAGAGTAAAAATAATATGTATGAAGAGAATGTTAATTTAATATAAATGTAAGTAGACAATTATGTGATTGTGAGAGGTTTTTTTTTAAGTTAGTTATTTGGGCTGGTCAAAAATATTGTCTCTATATTGCAAACTGAAATGACTGGTTAAGAGTAGGCACTTTTAAAATTTTCAAGAGCAGGCACTTAAATGTTTTAGTTTTTTTTTTTGATAAATTGTTTAGTTTGTAAGATTATGTTCTATATTTACTATTTAGTCACATTGTGCGAATTAATAATTGCTAGCGAAACGACTAGTGCAGGTAAACTCGAAGAATTGGAAGTAGCCAGTAGGTAGACTGTAGTTTCTATCTATCATTGGTGTAATTATCATTATAACCTCAGTCTATCTCCCCCCCCCCCCCCAAATAATTTCCACTAGTGCAGTGAGGCTATAGTTTATCTGTGTGGGTATCTAATATCAGCGGTGTATTCAGGAATATTGTTTATGGGAGGGGATAAGGCATTAAATCACGTTCATAAAAGTACTCTCATTTGAGGTGTCCTATATTTTTCTACTATATTATGCTATATATTAGCGGTCATAAAACTTTGTAGAGCTGTAGTGTTGCTGAAAAATCCTTCATAACACTAACAATTTGGAATGTTTATAAGGTAGTAATAGTTACTCATACCAGTCATAACTCATAATAAATGATAGGTACATGAAATATTTGCTTAATAATTTGTTTTATCAACAATTGCCTTTTTACCGTTGATTAGTTTTTGCTGTAAGCCGATCCGCCGACCAATGTAACCATATATAGTTTATATTATTATATTAATTTCAAGGAAAGAGCCCTCGGTGACATAGACCATTGGATATAGTTTATATTATAAACGATAATTAGTCCGAAAATTAACGTTTTAATATTTCCATACGAATCAATTTACATTTTCCAATCCTAATAATTTTCGAGAATTTTAAATGATTCTGGATGAAACACTTTTCCCATTATCAGCTACGTTTTCGTGTACCCCGATGCCATGATATTATATTATTATTGAAATCGAATTGACCACATCTGAGTATATGCTACTTGAGCCCTGAGGACTGTCTGAGGATTGTGTCAGAGGCTTCGATATCGTAGTGAGTATATACTATATACTCGATTATCTATTCTACGTTTCCACAAACATAATATGATATACTTGGATTAACCTATCTAATATTATTATATCGGCATTCAGCAGCTCCAATTTCCAGTCCTTTACCGATTGGCCACTGATTAATCATTTTTTAATTTTAATTAATCTCAGAAATCACGATGCATCATTAATATTTTTACAACGATAAATACTTATTTTTTAAACTAATGTAGCAATGACATGTCCCACAAAACATGTATTAATTTATCCCCACTAGATAGGGTTACATACACTTGGTATTATTTTTTTAAGTGTAAACAATTAATTATTTTAGGGTGTATTTCGAGGGTTTTTCTATTTTCGTATTTATAGCAAGACAAATGGGTAATAAACAAAAATATCCTATCTCATCAAAATGTTATCTTCGAATTGCCTTTAAAAAAAACCTGTGTATAAAATTTATTTTCGATACTTATTAATTAATGTAAGAAAACTTACAAGGACCCATGTTTCAATTATCAATGATATTTACCAAGAAACAATAGTTTTATCAACATATAGGTACATACATCGAAAAAAAGGAAAATTTTAGTTAGTTATTATAAATTATAAATGATGATCTAATGCACTATATTATATATCAACTTAACATTAAAACATGATTAACAATGTATAATTCGATTTCATATAATATTGCAGTGCGATATTTTTAAAATACAACATGTTAACGCCCCAGAGATGTATGGAATGTACCTTTTACGCAAAGAGGAAATGCGGTTGTCCAATGGAGGAAACGATGTCAAGGAGAGAATTTTATTCCACGTGACTTCCGAGGATAATGCCATCGATTCGCTAATACATGGACTCAACGGGAGGCGCAATCAGTTCCTCAGATTCGGGACCGGAGTGTCTTTTAGCAACAGCGCTGCCTACAGTAACTATTACGCTGAACAATCCACTAATAAAGGTATAAGAATAATGTAGTGTTTATCATTAATCCCTGTGTATGTGCCAACGAAATGTAATACCATCCCACCCTACAAAAATGTATCAAATCCCTTTCAAAAATCATTGTAAATATATTCGGATTAGTATCCACATCATGGAGACGAATTTATGTGCGATTTCCAGCCCAATTCGATTTATTTTGTGAAATTTCATGACCGTGCGTCCGTGCTCGGGGAAATGAGAAGGGTCCCCACTAAAACGTATCAAGTTCGTCAAAATATTCGAACTTGTAATATATTATGCACACTCAAAATTCTACTCCTGTCCATTTGTTGACATTAAGAAGGTCGCTAATAGAACCTCTATTACCTGAAATGTTCTTTTTTTTGTGATATATAGGTAATAAATTAATAGTTAATACGATTTTGACTGGAGCAATGAATATAATATTAGTCTTACAATGATGTGACATTTTTTTATAATGTATAAAATCTTTTATACATTTATAATTTCAAGGTTGGTTTTTGGTAAAAAATTATCTAGTCGATACTTATCGGTTTACAGGATGAGAGGCTGAGAGGGACCAAAAAGATATAATTCCTTATTGAGAAAGGTCATTTGTACTACAAATAGTAATAAATTAAGTTAAATTTTCAATTTCAAAAAAAAAATTTTCATTCCTATTTTATATAATCTCTGCATATTATTTTAGAAATTTGATATGCATATTTCATCAATTTAAATTTTAAATCTCGAGCATTGCTGTACATTGTCTAGATAAAAATATTTATTTTTTTAAATTATCTAGATTCTAGATGAATTAAACTGTTATCTGATTATTTGTAGATAATTCAGACAGATTCACTTTTTACCGTTATTCTATAATTTTTAATATTTAAAATTTAAAGCAAGAAAATTGACTTAAATTGTGCCATTAATTAATTAAATAATACAATTAAGTGTTCAAATGATTTAGTTATTTAAAATGTTCATTAGTAATTAATATGTGGTAAATAGTTTTCTTTTTTTATTAGTTTAATCTATATTGTTTTTATAAATTAGTGTTTTCTATCTAGATAAATAGGAAAGTTGTCTGTGTACAACAGTGCTCTCAAGCCCCAAGTTCTAAATGGTTTACAATTCTTTAAAATTTCAATTTTATTTTATTAAATCTCAGAATAAAAAAAATTATTGTTTCAAGGGTAGCGCTGCTGGGGCGTAGGACGTTTGCGCATCGCTATTGTTACGAATTACCTTTTTTATAGGCCGTTTGCGCATCGCTATTGTTAAAAAAGACATAGGGTGTTTAAGTGTTTTTCTATAACAATACAATTATATTGCATTATAATTTTTATAAATTACGTATGTTATCAATAATATTACAAAACTATAAATGTATACAAAAATAATCGTCAATATTCATATTCAGTTATATTCCGCTTTACAAAAATAAAAAAAATAAAATATTTTTGGACGTATACTATCATAATATTGATATATTTTTATAAATTACATATATTATGTTCTTCTAATGAGATTAGATTCGTTATAATTCATTACTAACTTATTATTTACATTTATAAAAAAAAAAATACAAAATTATTAAAATGTTATAGTATTTTTTAAATATGTTTAAACCTATGTCCCATTATTTTTAAAAATTGTTGTCGATTTATTTCCCCACTTGTGTACATAAAATAATTTTCGTTTACGAATTGTATATTTTTTATTTCCTTTGTTCGTAAACGGGTTGACTCTTCATTTATTTTAATATTTGTTTCTACTTGAATTTCTTTTAAAACTTCAAGGACCTAAAATTAAAATACAATTTAAATAAAAAAATAAGGTTAGTAAGCTAAAAATTTGATCTTACTTTCCATACAGATGGATGTGCTGTTACTTTTTCTCGTGTATTATTAAAATATTACATTAAAATTATTACTATTATTATTATTATTATTATTATTATTATTACTGTCGGCGACCTCTGCTATTATAGTAGGTAGGTTAGGTACCTTTATATTGTTAAAATGCGCGATGCGCAAACGACCAACCAAATTTATGGGCGTAGCCCGTTTCGCCCAAAAATGACCGTACCCGTTTCGCCCGGGTACCCGTTTTGCCCAAATTTTGTTTTTATATGATTTCCGTTTCGCCCAGAGTAGTTTAGACCAATTTAAAATTAAGTTGGCAATAGTTCAGTCAAATATTATATTTTAGGGAACGTTATAAAACCTATAGTAATAATCCACTCGTTATCGATTTGAAATCGATCAAAATCTATAAAGCAAATTGATCGCTGTGTGCTATGTGCTGCATCATCACCGTAGCTTATCTTATCTAATTTAAAAAGATACCTAACCATAAAACAAATTACATACTTAAAACTTAGTTAGTATAGTGCGTAGTGCGTAGTGCATAATATATGCAACGTCGACGTGTAAACACTAAAATGGCTGTGTTTTTAAAAAGTAAAAGAGACAAAGATATGATAATGTTTAATTATTATAAATACAATTTCGGTTCAAATAACGTAAATACATGTGAAGTTCGTTGGCGTTGTGTAAAACGTTCGTGTTCTATCACAGAATATAAAACAAATTCGGACATTGGCAAATGGATTAAATACACTTTTGGATTATTATATTTGGACCCCGAAGAAGTATCTGATTGTTTTGTGGAAGATTTGATGCCAGAATGCCCAACTGATGATAGAGTCACCAAATATTGTGATTATTTAGTAAACAATTATATTTCTGAGGATAGTACATTTCCTCCTTGTTTATGGGCATGTAATTCAGCGAGTATTCTGCTTACGACGAATGCGTGCGAGTCGTTTCATTCGTTCTTCAATGACCATTTTTATTCTAATTCTCCATCTATATTAAGTTGGTTAAATGTTGTGAAAAACTTCGTTCAAACTGATACGTATATAAAAATCAATAGCGTTAAAATACCACAGACATCAAAAGATGCGAATATAATTAAAAGGAAAGTACACAATCAGAAACAAATAACGAGGTACCGATCAAATGAAATTACTCGTTATGAATTCATAAAAAACATGTGTAATAATTTTAAAAATAAACTGTAGCTAGGTGGTATTAATAAATATATTTTGAACGATTAAAATCGATTTTTTTTTATAAGATATGTGTAAATTTTTATGACTTTAATTTGATTTTTTAATAATGTTGTGGACTAAATTTTAAATGTGTTAAACTTTTGTGAAAAAAAAATGACGTGCGTATAATAGTGCGTATAATTTTTGGAAAACAAAGAGTATCGCCTCCTCGTGGTGTTTTCTGGATAACGCTAAATGATACTCAAATATTTGACTGAACTATTGCCAACTTAATTTTAAATTGGTCTAAACTACTCTGGGCGAAACGGAAATCATATAAAAACAAAATTTGGGCAAAACGGGTACCCGGGCGAAACGGGTACGGTCATTTTTGGGCGAAACGGGTCCCGCCCAAATTTATTACCTGTAGTACTAATGATGCGCAAACGACAAACTCCGCGCTGCTGTACATAACTACATAAGGTGTAATGTGACTCACTGTAATAAATGTGTTAAATTTGAATTAGTGATGTACTATTGTATGCGAAAAACAATTCTGAGAAACAGAGTCCGTCAGTCTTCTAAATATATTGTACTATTGTAATATAATATATATATTGCTCTTAAATTTATTAATTTTACTTATAGTGTTATAGTAGATTGAATTACATTTTTCTGAAACAATTGCATTTGAAAAAGATTTTTGATTATAGTAATACACTAAGATTTGTATCTAATTTCGTCCAAATTTGAACTAAATATATATGTCAATGAATAAAAGGTGTATATATTTTCAGATTTTTGGTATTATTAATTATTTATGATTTAAGTTTTCAATCCTTAAAAATTTAAAATTGTATTAATATTAAAATACAAAATAATTAACACATTTTCGTGATATTGCCTAATTTCTCATACTCTCAAAAATTTAATTTCTCACCAGAAACGATACTGAATTAAAAATCAAAACACTTTAAGTGCACCAAAAGGTGACAACTGACACAAAAAAATTACAAACAACTTATTTCATACGAGTAAATGATAAAAGTGTTTCTTTTCTTTTTCTTTTTTCATGATCGGCAGTGGGAGTACGAGTGATTATCTTGAGCTATGTGCTGATGAATGCTATGCTTTGGGTGAACGAAAAAGAGTTTTCAAGAATGGACATGACCATACCTCCCTGCATGGCAGACACTATAGTGAGCGGTAACGAAAGCTTTTACGTGAAGTACAACGACTTCGAGTCGTATCCGTTTTTTTTTGTTTACTACCTTTGGTCTCCGAAACTTTTAAATGAATGCAAATATTTCAACGACGTTGTCAAAACTTTGAGGGCAGAAGAAAAGGCGCTGTGTAAGGAAATGGCATATGTGCGCCTTAACCCCGAGTCTAAAGACCGGCATGAAATAAGTCTACTCCGAAATGCCAGCAAACAACGCCATGCAGTGGAGAAAGCGGAAGCTGAAGCCGAAGGTGCCGCCTTGCTGAAAACCCCAAACAAAAACACCAGAAAGCGACGTCTTGCAGTGGGCAAAACGGAAGCAGAAACTGAAGCCGGCGCTTTGCAGAAATTTCAAAACAAAAACTCCAAAAAGCGAAGCCTTGCAGTAGACAAAGCAGAATCGAACGCCAAAGGTGCCTCTCTGAAATGCCCAAAGAAGAACACCAGAAAGCGACGCCAGCCAATGCTGGAGCCAAAGTCATCAAAACGTCAAAAAAGAAACCGGAAAAAGTGACTCCTCCGCACACCAGCTGAAACTGAAGCCTCCCCAGCCCCAGACTTACTGGGACGCCGAACAGAGACGTTAAAAAACGTATTCATTTCTCGTCACTCGTCTGTTGACTATGATTATATAAGTGTATACTTTCTGATAATTACTGATAATACTTTTTTTTTAATTAACCTCAAATGACCTTAATAAATATTTCTATTAACAGTTGTTTTTCCTTATAAAATCAATAAAATTAAAATTAAATATATTAAAACTATATATTGATAACAATAGAACGTATATTATTTTATTGTGAAATAATAATATGAACATTTTTAAATAAATTAATGTTGCTTACAAAAATAGTATTATAAATTGTTTCAGTAATCAAAAATACTGAGTCGGAATAAATTTTTTACACTTTATCAAAAATTAAATAAAAATATAAGACTAGAGTTATGTATATTGTGGGACATTTGCGAGTTATAAAAAGATTCAAACAAAATGTTTACAATACCGTCAAGCTAAATGGATGTTTTCATTTTTCCTTTACAACATGTTCACTAAAACACATTGTTTATTTTTATTTAAATATAAATATATTAACATTTTTTTCAAAATAGTCTCAATTGGTATGATAATTTGGTTAACAAATAATGGCGAAACGATAGCCGTATGTATTTTACACACGATCCAAAACAAGTCCGTATAGGTACAAGGAATTATTAGAAAGTAACCAAGAACTAGAATTTTTATTTTAATTTTTTATAGATTATATGAACATGTTTGGTTTGTACAGATTGTCTTTTGACATAGGTACTGCAAATTGTTAAAATGAATAATATAAATAATAACCTATAGTCATTATTTAATAGATATTATACTTATTTGTACACATCAATTAACTTTCCTTAGAACTATACAGAAAAAAGTCGCTAAGAGTTAAATTTAAAATGTTATTGTTATGCTCATAAAACGTTGGGAACCGCTGAATTAATGGGACGTCGTACCAGCATGTGTTATCCTTATCACCATCTTACCCTACGGACGACTTGGCAAATTTTCGTTTACCAGTTTCAATAGTCAGTGTGCTGTTAGTTCTGATATTGAGTGAATTGATCAATTATCAAACTTTTAGGTGAGAACACATCTTTGTTCTCACTTTGGTTTCTCACGATACGTTAATTTTTAAATGAGCATTTTCAGATGTTAATCGGTGGATCTAAGATTTTTTATGTTAAATGCTTTGTTGATAATAAAGTTCCTTATTTAGGTACCTATACTTATCATGAACAACTTGGGCTAAAGACAAAATTAACTTATTTTTTGAAAGTGGTAATCTTTATCTGCTGTAGTCTGCAATATTAATACGTTTAGTTTCATAATATGATTACTGATACCTAAGTAATTTAAAATTAAAATAAAGTTCATTATGCCGGTCGATGGGTGCTTCAGCTTCCAATCACCCCTCACCCCTAAAATCATTGTTGCCCACTATTGAAACTGGTGAACGAAAATGTGTCATACTGTCATGTCGTACGAGTGTAAGACGAAAATAACATATGCGGGTACGACTTCCTCTTAATACAAGTTTAATCATAATTCGTTGAATTCGTTTGAAACTTGTGAGAAATATTATATCCGTATACCTATGAGCGTAGTTTAAATCTACGAATCATTGACCATGCCGATATTTTTCGTATTATACATAATCTGTATTCGTAACTACGTATAACATGTTATTAACATCATTATATTATGACGTTTTTTTTTTTTTAGTTTTGAAGTCTACACTCTTACAAATTTTTTGAAAGGACATTTTTCGATAGTTTTTGAACATTTAAATCTCAGCCTTAGATATAAGTTGTAATTTTCTCATTAAAAATTTGGTACCACGTCAAAATCAGCGTGTAATATAATAGAATCGCTTCCGACTCTTTTGCTCATATTTCTGCTTATAGTAGCCAGTTTTTTGCGTACTTTGTTTTATCTGTTTTGTTATAAGTGCGTCCCTAGACTGGTGTCATTTTTGTGTCAATTCGCCCAAACTCTCCCCACAAGGACAATTACTGTGATTTCCCCATACTAATACACGGCCGCCGTAAATACGTAAGTTTTATTTATATTATTATCTGCTCGACGGACACACGGACTGCATTATCGCGCCGCCCGGTAATTACTTTTGCCGATTCGAGATAAGACCCGTTCGCTCATCGTATACACTGTGTGCGCAGAAACTTCTCTTATACAACGTGTCGTAGTACACGCCATTTGTCCCACAACATATACTTCGTTCTTTTCTACTTCTACTTGTCTACTTCAAACTATGTCCAAGCCTTCACCACCTACTACCCGTTCGGGGTCTACAGCTTCCACTACTTCTAAGAAATGCACTTCGAACGATGACATCTTAAAAGCTATTGAACATATCCAATCATCTCAAGATAAATTGTTGGCTGCCCATAAATCCTTAGGTTCAGACCTTAAAACGAGTATCAATGCTCTTACTTCGCGATTTGATTCGCTCTCACTCGAAATTTCTGAGCTCCGTACCAAAGTTGACCTCCTTGAATCTAAGGTTCTAACTCTAGAATCAAAGACTTCAAATCTATCAACTGTCCCATCCACAAAAATTTCGGATGTCTTACAAGAATTTTCCGAGCGTGATCGATGCAAACTCAATGTCATTATGTATGGTCTACCTGAATCCACGTCGAGCGATCTCCCTACTAAAATCAACGACGATAAGGTCTCGGTACGCGATATATTTTCTAAGCTCTCTACCGATTTAAACTCTGATTTCAAATCGTTTCGACTTGGTAAACCAACCTCAACTTCAACTCGACCTCTAAAAGTTATTTTTGGCTCCTGTTAAGCTGCTTCTGCTGTTCTAACGTCCTATCGTCAAGCTAAAATCCAAAACTTACTAGCATTGTACGTGACAAAACTTTACTTGAACGTCAACAACTTCGTACCTGTCACCTTGAGTTAGATCGTCGAGTTGCTGCAGGCGAAAATAACCTAACCATCACGTTCAAAAACGGTTCTCCGTGCGTAATTTCTCGTTAAAAAAACGACATCCGAGTTCAACATCATCCTCAACAATAAACATCGCCAACACCCCCATTACATGCAACATCAATGGTTTCTACCAGAATTGTCGCGGCCTTCGTACTAAACTTGTAAATTTTAATTGTAATACTTCATGTTTTAACTATTTCTTTATTGTTCTTACGGAAACTTGGCTCTCTAATAGTTTTTACTCTTCTGAGCTTGGTCTCGATAATTACAATATATATAGATGCGACAGGTCTCCACAAACCAGCTCCTTTAATCGCGGTGGTGGTGTGTTAGTAGCTGTTCGTAAAGACATTGATTCTTCCCCCCTTATTATACCTTATAATAATGTTGAGCAATTATTTTTCCGCTCCTCTCTTAACTCCTTAAATATTATAATGAACAGTGTTTATATACCACCCTCGTCGCCCATTGAGCTTTATGCTACTCATCAATAAAATACAATTGATTTTATTGTTCAAAACTACCCAAACCATAGTTTCATCCTCACTGGTGATTATAATCTTCCATTTATTTCATGGTCAAATGATGCACATGGCCTATGTTTCCTATCGCAAACAATCTCTGAATATACTGCCATTCCTGAAAGACTCGCCATTCATGGATTCTTCAAACATAACTACATACTAAATTCTCACCACTCTCTTCTCGATCTCATATTCTCTAACCTTAACTCCATAACTGTTAAACATGCTCTTGACCCTGCCGTGCCTGCTGACACGTACCATCCACCTCTCTCGCTCTCTATAAACCTCCCCATTCATGCTTCTCAATCTGCTTCACTCAAATCATTTTATAACTGTAGTAAGGCTGATTACATGCAGATCACTAATTTCTTTAACTATTTCAATTGGAAAAGTACCTTTCTGTCATACTCCCCTGATGATTCCATGTCTGTCTTCCTTGATGCTCTCCATTATTCAATTTTAACTTTTGTTCCGAAAATCTCTTTTCGTCCCTCCACTTTCCCCTCTTGGTACACTAAGGAGCTCAAAGAACTAGTGTTTGCTAAGTCTCGCGCTCATGCCAAGTTGAAGTCATCCCAGCTTTTATCAGATTACAAGCATTTTTCACTTCTTCGCGCTAAATTTAAATTCATCTCCAAACAATGCTACCGCAATTTTGTCTCACGTACCGAATCCTCCCTATTACACAACCCTCAATACTTTTGGAGTTTTATTAGAAAAAACCGCTCTTATCAATCTATACCTTCATGTGTTTCACTTCATGGTAAACAAAGTACATCTCTTCCCGAAACTGCTAACCTTTTTGCTGCACATTTTTCCTCCGTGTTCACCCAGCCTTCACCGACTCCATCCCAAACATTACATCCTATCTGCCTCTTTCCGCTCCCGTCTAATTCCTATTTTTCGATCAGTGACGTCTACAAATGCTTATGTTCCCTTCGCAATGTTAAGTCTGTTGGTCCTGATGGTATCCAGGGTGATTTCTTGTACAAACTTCGATCTGTTCTTGCTGAACCGTTATGGTTATTGTTTAGGCGTTCTATTGACTCGGGTATTTTTCCGTCTGCACTTAAACTTGGCTCTATTAGACCCATACTTAAGTCTGGTGATTCAACTGATGTTTCAAACTATCGTCCCATAACTATCCTTCCTCATTTATCCAAAATATTTGAAACGCTTGTTCTTAATTCGATTCGTTCTCCCTTGAATCATATCCTAATTGATGAGCAGCATGGCTTCCGTCCTGGTAGATCAACTCTTACTTGTAACCTTAGTCTACATTCATATATATATGATTCTTTTCGCGATAGCTGCCAAGTAGATGTAATCTACACAGATTTCTCCAAGGCTTTCGATCGTGTTGATCACAATCATCTTATGTCAACTCTAGACTCCATAGGAATCGGTGAACCATTACTTTCCTGGTTTCGCTCATACATTACAAATAGGATCCAATGGGTAACTGTTGATTCCACTTCTTCGGACCGCTTTACTCCCTCCTCAGGTGTACCACAAGGTGCTGTTCTTTCTCCACTCCTGTTTGCCCTATTCATAAACTCAGCGGTCTCCGTCCTCCAGCATGTTAAACTTCTTATCTTTGCTGATGATATGAAAATCTTTCT